ATTACTAGTTTAAAGAAAAAAAAAGAAAAAAGAAAAAGGGAAAAATTACACAGAAAAACAAGAGACAGAGAATGAATCCCAGACTGAGTATGGAACTGACATCTGACTGCCATATTACTATTACTGGCAACAAGCACGTGCAGTGACAAACAATAGATTCTCAGGATTCGTAATGATCCAGTTAAGTGGTGATGGAGATGTTTTCCTTCAAACACAGTCCAAACAACTTCCCAACACTGCATGGCACAGCCAGAGAAAGGGCTTGGACAGAAACAGGAATCCCAGGCTGCAGCTCAAGCATCTTTTTAGGTAAGACATTTCTGTTGTAACAAGCACAAAGATAGTATTTAGTAGTCCCTCTTTCTCTTTCTAAAATCCAGAGATCTTTTAAAACTAGGGAAACATCTTCAAAGTATGTAGCTACATCCGTCTCCTTGGTAAGTGACATAGATTTATTAGAGCTGCAGTGAAGGAGTACCCTGTGCAGGACTCTGCACACTTCTCACAGTTGTCAGAAATCGTGAGAGTGGGTCCTTGGCTGTTCAAGTTTCTTCCAGCTTAACACACTCACAGTACAAACACCACACAACCTACTCCCAAAATACTCCTTTCATCAGGCACACACTTGAAACCGGGCTCAGAGTATTTGTCATGGGACATCTGTTTACAGCAAGTCAGCAAACTGCATCAGCTACTCTTCCTTAGGGGCTTGAGATCCACCACAGGCTTGTCCTGTTCTCACACTTTGCCACCAGCAGTAACAGGATACTGAGCAACAGGCGCTTCAGCTTCCACCAGCTGCACCTTCCTTCACCCCAGCACAATGAAGTTGTGATACAGCAAAGGCAACACCCCTGATCAGCCACAACACAGCACAGCTGGGGCTCCCCTGCTCTGCAGGTCTGTAAAAACAAGCTTTTCATCACAACCCTGAGAACAGCACACGGCAAGCACTGCCACACAAACCAAAGATGTGCCAAAAACAAATGCCTGAGAGAAGAGGAGGGGGTTCTCCTTCACAGGCGTTTCAGGAGTTTGCACAGCATTATGCAAGTTAAAGTCATTTTCTGTAGTAGGCACGACTTAAGTTATGATTTAATTTATGCTTTAACAATGCTTAACCAGCATGGCAGGGGCTTTATTCTGGTTTTAGCCATGTGATGCACCAATCCATGAGAGGAGGAGTAGAGAAACTGGCTGTGTTCCATGTAGGAGTTTCTCTTCGCACATCGCTCTCTGCTGGCTCCTGGAATTGCCCATCTCCCTTCTAATACCACGGGCACAGACAGGAATGAGTGAGCTCTCCTAAGTGGATTTCAGAACCCTTCATTACACAGCATGTCACCCTACAACTACCTTAGAATGTCACACCTTAATTATTAAGAGCTTTAACTCATTTAGTTACTTCTTCACCAGAAGTAACCAGATGCTGCCAAGACAGCATCTACATCAGCAATACAAAAAAATCCCCCCAAAAAAACCCAAACTAAAAAAACACAACCCCCCAACCCTGAAATTACCTTTTTGCAATGATCAAACTGGGTTTATAACACCATCACTCACCACATTTGCCAGCTTAGGAAGAGGCTCTACATCACGTTGCTTGTGTTATAAAAATAAAGCTCTCTTTCCCTCATACCCAAGCACCTCGATGCTTTGGAGAAGGAACCTGACACTTGGGTAAAAACAGCTGGCATGTATAAATACATGTAACACCTCTGGCCAAACCTCTGAAAATATATAAACATTCGGTAACTATGTTTTTTTTAAATGAGTTTAGGAACACTGGGATTCACAAGGGTAAGCCAATGTGCTCAATTTCTTGGGTGCAGACACAAGTGAGCAGCAATACTCTGGATTATAAATTGCAATCACAACTAGCAATAAAAAAGGCAGGGGAACAAGTATGTACTAAAACAGGAGCTGGGCTGTAGAATCCCAGGGACTGGATTCAGCAGTGCAGACAGGGAAGAAAGGATGCAGAGACAGGTACAGGAAAGCACTTGCAGCAAAGGACATGGGGAGCTCAAGGCCTTCAAGGGATACTGGAGATAAAACACTACAGCCTGAAGAGGACACTGGGAACGTGAAGGAATGTGAGACTAGCACAGGAAGAAGCCAAAAGTGCAATCAAATGTTAGGTCTTTAATGGCTCTCATGTTTGAGTCAGGTGCTGCCGGATCAGATGAACAGCTAAAAATCCCTGGAGACATGTCCTCACTGAGCAGGTGAAAAATCTCACAGCAACCAAGGTTGACCAGTTCTACCCAGTCACATTTTGCACTTCATTTAATCTAAGGAGGCTCTGGAGTAGGCTGGCCAAGGGCAGAGCCACAGGCACAAGACCATTGATAAGAAGTTGATGTACACTCCATCCCCCTCTCCTGGTCCTCACTCAGCTGCAGGATGACTGCCAGCTGCTCTCCTTGGCAGGCTTTGTGCAGCTTTCCCTCTGAGACAGGACCTAGAGCTGGCCCTCCATCTCCCACCCCTGTTTTGGATACATTAGCTGTCACACCAGCCAGCACATCGAGAACAGCCCAGCTCTGATTGCTCCAGTGTCTCACGCAGCCACACAGGAGAACCAAAAGCAAAGTCTGTCTCTCCCATGTTCCCAATGCCAACCCTTTCCAGCTGCTAAGGAATTTTTTACAGGAGATGGTGCCATTTGGATAAGGGAAGTGTGAGCTATTCAGAGAAACAGTGAAAAACTGCCTGTGGGCAGCTGGTTAGGTACAGCAACAGTTTAGGTGGGGAACAGGGCTTGGAGGAACAGCAAAAGGCACACTGGGACAGAACAGGGTGAAACACATGGGGGGTGGTCATTCCCTGAGGATACAGTGTCATTGGATCAGTGACCAATGGAAAAACTAGAGAGAGGATTCACTTTGGCAAAGAAAACAGAGCCAGGAGAAAGATGTATTCTTCCTACCCCAGACACGTACCTCCAAGGAATGCCGAGCATTCCCAACCTTTGCCAGGCTCCCAGACAGAAACCCAGGGACAAAGGAGGTGTGACACTGAACTTCATATCAAATCAGAGCAATTGCACAAACCGTACAACCCTTTAGCAAGGCTGCTCTTCAGCAAGGCACTGCCTCCCATCCCAGATTCACTGAAGCCTTCGCACATCACACAACGTAACCACAATATTTCATTAAGAAACAATTTGCACTCAAGAAGAGCAAAAGGCACTCCAGAACTGGAAGTGGAAGCACCAAAATTCATCATCCAGCAAGCTTCACATTCTTGCCTCAAAATCTTTTGTGCCACAAGGCAATATGGAAAATGAAGCCAGCTGAGTTCTTAAATATGGTAGCCTGTGATCAGGCTTTTAGCTAAATCCAAGGAAACTGTCTCTCATTATTAGGGCATTGCATTTGGTTATAGGGATCCTTAAGTTCTAATTTAGCGTTAAAAAACCCTCAACCTCCTCAACCAAGTAGTAAATTTCAGAGAACTTTCCACTGTGTGAAGTAGGACCAAGATATTAACAAATGCAAAATAATATGCAAAAGTTGATATAGGCTGCCCTGGAAATGAAAGTGACACAGCACTTAAAAAATCTGTAGTGCCTTATTAGTGCTGTTATTATTTAACCTAAAGATGTAATTCGATAAAAGGTAATTTAATTTACACATCTTGGGATATGAGTAACTTGATATGTTGTTTACTGTCCAAATCCATACAAATTCACCTGGGATTTCACTTATCACCCCTTAAAAAAACCTAACAACAAACAAAATCAACAGCCTGTATTAAAGTAAAGACCTTGAAAGCCTCTATGGTGGGGAAAAAACCCTAACTTTAACCATTTAAGCAGGCTTTAAATACATTAGTTAGCATGGTGGGGAAAAACCCCCAACTTTAACCATTTAAGCAGGTTTTAAATATGTTAGTTAGCATGGTGCCACTGGTAAATGCACAGCCAACCCTGGAATCTCCAAATCTCCTGGATGTCAGGGTTCAAACAGCGAGAGATATAAACTGACCTGGCTGAGACACCGCGGTGGCAGTAAACTGAGTAGCCCAGGGGGGATTCTTCTGTCCTCCAAACTGAGCCATGGTGGAAGGCAGGATCTCCCGGGGTCTATCGCCTGTAACTGCAATCTAGTGAAACAGAGCACAGCTGCAGTCTTTGAAAAACACACCGCCGGGTTACTTTAATTCTGAGCCACAGGAAAAAAAACTCCAAACAAAAAAAATAATAGACAGGAAAAGAAACAAAAAGCGTGGAAATACCAGCCTTACGCCCCTAAAACCTGGCGGGCAACATGCGCCACGTGCGGGAAACACAGAAAGCTGTGAGACAAGTTATTTTACTTTCTTAAGGCACGACCTCCATCCCCCTCGTCTTAACAATGGGACTAACGCTATTTAAATGCAAAGATGCGTTTCCGTGTCAAGGGGCGCTAAGGGAAAAGTGACTCTGCAGGATCTCTCCGAGCACACACTTCACACCTCGTTACTCTCAGTCCCCGGGCCGCGCTCGGCTGCGGCGGGGCCGCGCCGCCAGCGCTCCCGCACGGAGGGGGCCGGGCCGCTCCGGCCGCACGGGAGGCACGACCGGCCCGGGCCCCCGTCCCGCCGCCTC